GAAGGCCTCTCTACGTCCTGTGATTTGAATTTGAACCTGACCTTACCTGACCTGAACTGAACTGACCTGAACCGGCGCCTTTTTTCACTTGCGCGGTACAACGTGTTAGCAGCATCATGAGCCGCAAAGGGACAGCGAAGCTGGAGGAATTGCTGCGTATTGAAGGAGAGATTCAAAGATATTGGGAATCCCAAAAATCTTTCGAGTGTGATGCACCTGAAGAGGGACAAAAAAGGTGTGCTAAATGCGACACATTGATTTATCCTTTAACAGCACTGATAAATATTTTGTAACCTTCCCTTATCCCTACATGAATGGACGTTTGCATTTAGGCCACACATTTTCACTGTCCAAATGTGAAGTAATACCTGCAATTAAATTCAATAGTTTTGATAGTTTTCCATCGGATTCAACCGTTTGAAAGGCAAAATGACTCTGTGGCCATTTGGTTTCCATTGCACTGGGACTCCTATAAAGGCATCAGCAGACAAACTCAGACGAGAATGTGAACTTTATGGCTGCCCTCCGGTGTTCCCTCTTGAGGACTCAGAAGCTTTACAGGAATCCAAGGAAATTGAGGTGATTTTTCTGTACACTTCAATTTTTTTTATCAAACTAGGTGATCAAAGATCCGTCGAAAAGTAAAAAAAGCAAAGCAACCGCAAAATCTGGGGACGTGAAGTATCAGTGGCAAATCATGGAAAGTATGGGCTTAGATAGTCGAGAAATTGCCAAATTTATTGAACCCAATTATTGGATGGAGTATTTTCCGGTTAAGGCGATCGCGGATCTTCGAAAATTGGGGGTCAAGGTAAGTTTTTAATCTATTGTCGCTGATAATATCCGAACGGTTCTGTTCACCCTGTGTTATGGTTTTATTCATCTTTTTATCGAGCAAAGTCGACCAGTCCTACGTAGGAATAGGCGCTAATATATGCCAATGTTTTTATGTTTGCTGTGAACAATTGGAAATTTAATGACTGTTTCAACTTAAAGATGAGCTTGACAGTTGAATGGTTTGAGTCGCACTCGGATTCGACAATTCGATTCCCTCTTCCATTGCACTAACCTCTCTCCTCCCTCCCGTTTCTCTCGTGTCTTGGAAAAATGCTGCTGCTTTTCTCATTATTTGTACGCGACCATTTTCAACAACAGGTTAATTTGGATTCACCGATCTTTATTTAGCTCTGCTACTATTAGAGAGGACAACAGATCAGCCATAGGCGTGTTTCAAGTCCTTTTCAAAAGCATTTGTGCTCATTTTCATCGGGCCACCAATGCCATCCCCATCCCCGAAACAGTAACGTAGCTAAGCGCGTCGAGATTAATGCGGTCGACAAGCGTTTAAAGTGCCGCAGGAATACCACCGAGTACAGCTTCATCCATGAACTACAAATCCGAGATATGAATGATCGGGTTCATCTAGATACAAGGGTAGTGCGATGAGCAGTGGCTATCAAGTCATTCAATGAGAAGACAAAAAAGCAGAATACAGGTTTTATTCAACACAACTAGATCAGAGGAGCCTCAAAGATAAAGGGAAGGTTTAGGGTAACGATTAAAGCAAAATAAAACAACCACAATTAGGAGTTTGATATGACGCAGCCGAGGCACGGATTAGCGGCCACACTCCGGCAAACCGTTCGACAAGCAGCCTAAGCCAGGTTCGTACATCATGCAAAGACAGCCACTCCTGAATGAGCGGTCGAGATCTGCTATCTGGGTCCAGCGGCTATGAGTGAAGCCTGTTCAATCAGCAGGGTTGCACGAACCCCTGGCTCGCAGCAACCCGTACCGAATTGCGAATGAGCTCTTACGAAGCCATCGGTAACCATGCACCAACAGGTTGTTACCGTGCAGTCCATATGTGACTGTAAGGGTCAGAGGTGTGCCTCGAAGCAAGACACCGAGTAACGATCTTATACCAAACTCTTCCGAGACTCCATAATCATCCGAATCACGTAAAACTCATACATATCCTTGTTCAGACGACTTATTTCAGTTCCTGGTTGTTTTATGTAACCGTGTAAATGTACGTTTACAGCTGAATGCGAGCATGCGCTAGTGGTGGCGCAGTGGTTTGATCACTATTATCAGCGTGCTTTTCACCCTGTACTTCGAGTTTCGAACCCCACTATAATTACCCAACTTTGGTGGTAGGCAGCTTTGCTGTCGTCTGTTTCAATACCACGCATAACCTAACAAAGCCTTATGTAGTTCGTCAATCCAAGTCCCGGGTCTGAATAGCAGGTTCTCGTGACTCCGTTGTTTCCCCGTCTGCTGCTGACCACACTAAGGTGTATCATGAAAAAAATTCCGCATATATTTATATATATATATGCGTGTGCGAAGTTAAAGTCTCAATGCGGACATCCACAACAAGTCGATGAATCAGTGTCCAATGAAATCTTCATCTTCGGGAGTGTAAAACCGCGATTTGGCTGCAATAGGCTTTCAATCGGGTAACCAGTTCCCGAAAAAGGATGGTGCTTCGATGCATAACGCACAATACCTAGTGGTGGTGGCGCAGTGGTTTAGTCGTTGTCACCAGCGTGCTTTGGACTCTGTGGTCCGAGGTTCGAACCCCGCCACCCGACTTTAGTGGTAGGCAGCTCTGCTGTCGTCCGGTTCAATACCACGCCTAACCTATCGGGGCCTTATGTGGTTCGCCACTCCAAGTTCCGATGCTTAGGTTGCCGATTTCAACCACTGAACAGCAGGTCCTCGTAACTATGGGGTTTACCCCGTCTGCTGTTCATCACACCTAGGTGTGTAATAAAAAAACCTTCAGGTTAAGCAGAGCTGAGTGCTACCAGGCGCGTCCCCGGTTGTGGATGGGGGAACACCTTCACCGAGGCATTCATGGAGCCGGCTTATCCTTTCCAAGGAATCAGCCAGCCGTAGTAAATTAAAGTAACACCGTAAAGAGCATAATAACGTCGCCCCACTAAACGGTATTTCGATCAGTTATTGGTCCCCAAAAATGTAATGCCCCAGCAATGCATATGCACACAAATGGGGGAGATCGGAAAGTTTAAAAGCATATAGATTGTTCTTCAGGCTTAAACTGATGAGATAATAGACCTTCATACGACTAACTAGTCTTGTGTATATCATAGAGATGACGCTGGAGGATTATCTGATCTTCAGATAACTTTGCCGTACCAAAGATTATTGAGGGTAACTTTCCCAGTTCCTGGCATCTCTCATAGCTTCCATGGAGATCTCAGCGTCATTGTCCGTTCGCTACTACCCGATGCCGAAGTACTGACTGCGGCTGTGTGTGTTGTTACCGAGGTTATCCTTTTCCCTGGAAGCGATCTTCAAACACATTTGAAAACCTCTTCTCACAGTTACTTTAGCCCGCATCCTTAGTATGGTACACTAGTTTCTGCTGTTCAGCTTTGAGGACCGCTAAAATCGCCTTGTGCGAACCACTATCTTCCTTGTCATCGGGATAATTATCAGTTTGCTTGGATGAACCTAAAACTGCCTCTTATGACGTGGATGGACTCTGAGACAATTTGGTTGTTGTATAATCTCGGGCAACCTACCATATTCCAGAGCAGTTTGCGAATTCAAAGGGTCGTTCTCATTAAGACATTATCGTGCATTACTTTCCGCCTGTGAAGACTGACGAATAGATGAAATAGAATCTACCATTTCACGACACACTTCAGTACCTTGGTTGTGCAAATTGCTCTCCGAGGTTAATCTTTCATTGCCTTTAAAGCCTGCCGTCGTCCGGGTCAGTACCACCGCCTAACCGTCCGGACCTTATGTTTTTCGCCACTCCAAGTTCCAGGGCTAGGTTGCCGGTTACTTCTCATTTCACTATGAATACTACAACTAACAGGATTAACTTTCAAGCACAATCTCACTCGACAATCGCACTCACCAACATTCGCTGCTTGAACCATAGTATTGATTATGTACACCAGTCCACTTCCCCTCTTTGCTCCATTTTTATCCGAAATAAATTCTACAGACAACCCATCTTCAGTTTCCCAACTATTTTCTTCACACTTCGTTCATCCCCAAAGCTGGTGCTTGTGCTTTCATTCATCATTCAGCTGTTTCCATTCCATTCTCCCACTTAAATCTCACCGACCGCAAGTTCCGAACTGTCTGAAACTTCGGTTCCCTTCTTTCAATCACTACTTCTACACTATGTACCGTTCCCCAAATAGTAATAATTCTTTACTTTTTGATGTTTTATCGGCAAAGATAGACAGCGTTGTTGAAGCAGACCTCAACGCTCAATTCAAAATTTTGGGTGATTTTAATGTCCACAACAGGGATTGACTTACACTCTTCAGGGACGTAAAGCTGAATCATTTGCCCTCTTAAACAACCTTCACCAACTGGTTGATCTCCCTACTCGTAACCCCAACCGTGCTGGCGACCACGCTCATACCCTCAGTCTAGTCTTCATCCAATCCATCCCTTCCGTGGGCTCATCCGATTATTGTCTTATTTCGCTATCTGCCCAAGTAATCTGTTCCAATTTTCCTCCCGATTCTAGACGCTTATTCTGGCAATACGGTTTCGCTGATTGGTGCAGCTTTCATAGCTTTCTGGCTGACTACCTCTGGAATAAATGTTCCTTTTCTGCCGATATCCTCATCTGGGCTTCGAAATTTTCCAAAGTTCATTTTGAAGGCATGCACCTATTTATTCCTCATTTCACTAAACCCGGTAAGCCTCATTCTCTTCCAGTTCTACCCTTCTCAAATCACCCATCCAACCCTCCATACAAATCTGTTTACGGCTAACCATCTTTTCACACCGGTCATTTCCACCGGAAGGATCCTCTTATTACCGGATCCACACAAGCCACCTGAACTCGATAGGATTCCTCCCATCGTCTTCAAAATATGCACCCCAGAACAGGCTCCCCTCATACACTGCTTATTTTCTCTATCCCTCAATTCTGAGATATTCCCAACCTCACGAAAAATGTCAGAAATAATTCCCATTCTTCAACGTGGCGACCACTCCGACCCAAACAACTACCGCCCCATGTTTCTCACATCAGTCATTTCAAAGGTTATGGAATCGGTCGTTGCTAATCAAATTCACCACCACCTGGCACAGAACAAGTCAGTACGGTCCCATCGGTCTGCCGGTGATCTTATGACGCTCATTTCCCATACATAGCGCAGTCGACAACCACGGAGAAACCCATATGGTGTGGTTAGATATATTCAGAGCTTTCCGTCGTGTCTGGCACCTGGGCCTTCTAACTAAGCTACCCAACTTTAGCTTTACTTGGGAACTTGAATAAGAAGCTATCTCAAGGATCGCAGCACCTCCATTCGAGTGGATGAGACCATGTCTCGATCCTTACCTGTGAATGTTGGTGTTCCTCAAGGCTCTGTACTTTCCCCTTCTCTTTTTCTGATGTTTATTAATAACCTTTCTTCAACTTCCAGTCCTGTTCACGCCTTTGCCGATGATGCTACCATACACTTCGTTGTCTTATTCTTTCTCACGCATCGATAACTCCATCATTAGTAATGACCGCTCTTTCAGTTTTTCCCTCACTTCTGATCTGGGTCTTATTTCCGCTTAGGGCTGTTGCAACCGTGTTCTCTTCAATTCCAATGAAAATTCCATTATGTTCATTTCTCTTGAACACATCTTTCTCAACTTCATTAAATTTTACCTCGAACATCCTCCGTTCCACAGATTCTTGCAACCTATTGGGACTTCCCTATCTTCTCTTTCATGGTCACCATATATTTATCTACTTTTCTCCCGCGCCGCTCGCAAAATCGGCTTCCTCTTCCGCGCCAGACGTTTCTTCACCTCCATTCATCTCTCACTTAACAAAGCTCAGATTCGTGGGGTCTTGTGTTCGCTGAGCTTGGCGTTTAGATCGCAAACGTTTCATCACCAGCCGAGGTGACATCGTCAGTGCGTTGGTAATGATCCAAGCTCAGCGAACACAAGACCCCACAAACCATCAAACTGAGCTACAAACCACACCCATATTCAAATCTGTTGAAAGCTCAGATTCGCCCCACACTTGAATACTGCGGTCATTTGTGGGGTGGAGCTTCGTCCACCTCTTCTTGATCGAGTTCAACGTAAGGCCATTCGTCTCATCAACGACTCCTCTCTAACATGTAACTTGCAATAACTCATCATCGTACAGCGAAACATAGTGAAGCGAACTTCACTGATCACTGTCAAACTCATAATGCATACAAGATAAGCGAGCATGTGTAAGGAGGACAGGGATTGAACCTACTTTTAGGGACGGGAAAAGAAAGCGAACCTCGATGGCCGACACAGAGTACACAGCCCAACTGTGCATACATACTAGTTCAAACACCTGGACTGATAAGAAGTGACAGCATGATCGCCATCGCGTGTCGGTTCACAGCCATAATTTTCAGTGTTTCCAACCATGTGGTTTTGGAGTCTTTTGGACCCCAACCCGGAAAGCGAGAGACACCTACTCTACCTAGTCGCTCTATGCATTTCTTTATGCCTCGTCTCCACGTCATCTGCTGGCCTCCACGTGGATTTCACCAGTCTGTAACAGCCACTGCAAACAAGGCGCGCTGCGGTAGGCGACCATCGGATATGCGCAAAACGTATCCTAACCAACGGAGCCTACTGAGCTGGATTCGATGAGATAGTGTGTTGTTGTTTGATGTATTCCCAAACACCCGACGACTTACTTATAAGTTACTAACCCGCTCACTCCATCCCACTTGGGCCAGACTACGTAAGCATCGATTGTCGAAAACCGCTATGCGACGGATGTCTTCTACCCGCAAGTTCAAGGTCTCAAAACCGTACAGCAGAACTGATCGTACAGTGGCGCAGTATACGTGATTTTTCAACTTTAGTGACACGTCACGTCGCCGCCACAGATGTTTTAGTCCTGTGTACGCTACCCGAGCCTTGGAAATGCGGGCGATTATCTTCATTGGTGCGCTACCGTCGTTGGTCACGCACCTACCTAAGTACGGGAAGTAGTCAGCTTCAGCTAATTCCTGACTGTCAAGTTTCAGAACAGAACTCGGTGACACCCAG